AAAAAAAAAAAAAAAAAGCAGAAACCCAATAAGCAATAACATAGTTTTTTCCATTTATGACCTAAACCTAATTAATTGTTTATTTGTGTTCTCTTTGGTTTCAGCAAATGTTAGTTCAGGGAATATAATTAAACAGGGGTATAAAAAGGAATGGAAATTAATTGAAGAATGTAGTAACAAGCCAATTCATAACAGGTCGCCTAAAATAGATGGAAATGTGACCTAGCAAACGATATCAACTGAAATACCTGAATTTCTGAAAGTATACTCCCATGCATAGCCATGATCATGAAAGCACAATGCCTCAAGGCTCCACTGACTTTAACATACTCACCCCATGGATAATTGAACATTTTGTAACGGCCATGAGGTGGTTCCCATACAGCAAAACCCAACTGCAAAAAGGGAAGTAATTACAACAAAAACTCACATCCCTTCCGCAGTGTCAAAATATTATAATGAGATATATTAAAGAGGCAAACCAACGTCTCCTCTTGGCTAGAGGCTTCCACTGCAGCTCTATATCCCTTATAAAGGGGGTCATCTGAAGCCTGGTAGATAAGAATTTTTGATGGTATCCTGGTGTACTCCGTGCTCGACAAGTACATACTGATACAACCTGAACCAAAAGATTCAGATATAATGAGGGGGCTATCTAAAATAAATAAATACTGGCGTTTATGAAACTAATGCACGTTAATTACAAAAGATACCCTAGATGAAATATTATAACACAAAGTCTCAGCTAACTTTCAGATTTACTTCTTAAGGTTAAGGAAATTCAGAACGCAAGCCAATTTCCATTTCCATAATTAGAAAGACGCAATTTTCGTGATCAGAAAGGCAACCTTTTTCTTCGATTCTTTTTGGCATTCAGGTCAGACCTGAAGGGTACTTTTTGTAACCATCTCCAACTAATAAATAGATAAGCTGCATGAAAAGTTTTCACCTTCCAAAGATGTGGCAACCCCTTTAAAATTCTTGACAACCAGCTTATGCAAATCCTCGCCAGCCCAAATAGGGAAGATACATACATTCATGAGCAAACAAACACCAGCACCCACCGCAATTAGCACCAATCTAGAAATTGCCGTTTGAACGAAATCGGAGGCTCCAGATACCAGCACGATACAAAATGTCAGCAAAAACACCCGAAATCCATACTCGTACTGCTTCATGGCTGGGTGCAACTTCAAGTAACTAGCCAAGAAACCTTATGTACAGGAAAGAATAAAATTACTGAAGATGCATTTAAAGTCACGTAGAAGTCCCGCAAGTGAGGTTCCAGCATAATGAGAAAGTTCAGAAAATGGTAAGTAGAACATATAAGATGCAAATTTAGATAGTATTTGAGAAGCTTCGGATTTTTTAAATGATATATTAAACAAAAAGCTAAAAAGAGATGAATATATGTTACGGAAGTGCTTCTTTAATGGTAGGTAGGAATCAAACAGAAAGACCCCTCCCTATGCAGCTATGATTTATGTAGAGGGATGTGAAAATCACGGAAGCTACTTTTTGGGTGAAACAGTTGCTTTTTTTATTGATAGCAAATAATCCCTCGGGTTGGTAGAGGATGTGAGGACTAAAAGTGAGACTCACACATAACGAGTCCCGGAAAAAACTACATTATTCCCACTCAAAACTCACGTCCATTTAACACATTTTGACACCAAAAATTACACAAAACATCTCTAAACCAAAAAGTTACAAGTAACCAACCTGCAATGAAAATGCTGATCACGACCACGATTTCTTGCAGCTCTCCAGCAACTTTTGAACATTCAGCAATTCCCAAAGCTAGTGCTCCGGCAGAAAAGGTTCCCAACGCTCGATTACACCCTTTGCTTAGCGTGGCACCTATGTGTACAACCCCGCCAAATAAATATAGAAATTCTTAAAACAGCAAAATGAACAAAAAGATTCAAGCCATACTATAGTCTAGACTATGGTTTACAGGTATAGAAAGAAAAACCACAAGTTTCTTGTGCTAACTCTGAATCCAAATTAGCACAAAAATACAAATTACTCATACTTCATAAACAGGAAAAGATGCTTAAAGCAGGGGATAAATTGTGAAAACTGTCTCTGATGTTTGTTTCTTCGTGACGAATACTATGCTTATAAGCGATCTACTTCGTAAAACTGAATCAAGTTACTATGGATACTTCTGGGTTCGTGTTGTAATGAGACTAAACCGCAAAATGTGCTAATTTGGGATTAAACCCTAAAACCTGAGCAAGCAAACAGCAAGCTGATAACTAGAGTACCGTTTAGCAATACACTTCCCAAATCCTTGAAAAGAACTTACTTCATTACTTGCCTAGCTATGATTCAGCCAACACTTCATTTTCTTATTTGAAGCGAAATCCAACCATCAGAAAGCACTTCAAAAATAAAAGTACAAAGAAGCTCACCTATGCTGAACTCGAAGACGACTACCACGGTGAGAATAGCCCATATGGAGTGCTTGGTGATGTAAGTCGTGGGCTCCTTGAAAAAAATCAATACCGAGACCAGAGACAGAGCAGTCCCCATTTTAGCCGCAAACACCACTTTTCTCGGGTCCGATCTCCCCATCTCGTAGGCACTGACCGCCGTTACCTTCAAATCTCGCCACCACCTCGAAACCGTCTCCCCGGCGATTCGGAAAATCCGACGGAGGCAGCCCTCGTATACTACGATATATGAATCATCTGAGCCCAGGTCGGAACAATTCTTCTGCGGGAGAAGTCTCTCTTTGCTCCTGACCAAAAAGCTCTCTCTCAGGGACCCGATAGGCCCAGCCATGGCTTCGAATTATTTTTCAGCCACCAACAAACTGACATGAGAACTGAGGCCTAGATTTTAAGCAGTTAGATAGAGAAGATAATTTTCGACGGAATTTTATAATACATTTGACTACATCCATGTGAATGATTTTGATTGCGAACGGTAGATGGGGAAACTTCAGGGTATGTTTGGTTCAAAGGAGGGGAGGGGAGGGGAGG